GGGGTACTTTGCCGATTCGATGGAGACGGCCCGACTTCTGAGATCCGAGTTGTGCTCGGACGAAAAGGAGGAGTACCCCAGACCACTTCCTAGAGGGAGAGGCATGCAACACTTTTGGCGGCAGACTGAAATGAATGACTTTGGCAACTCGTCTCATCAGGTCAAAACTGAGGTTGTCCGACTACCATGTTGGCAACATCAATGTTATTTTTGATAGCCAACTCGTTGTTGGCGGTTGTTTGATTGTTTTGTGGAGTTCGGCCCGAGGCGGTCGTTGTTTTCTGATCTTGTGTTTAAGATGATGATGAATTGAATCATTTTTGTTATCGTTACAGCTTGGATGTGCGTTCTATCAACTACGGTCAATTTCTTGTGACGTAATAATATGTGGATGTTTTAATTTTCTTTTGACAGTGTGTTTAAGGGACTAGGATGAGTTGTGGGTTTCATGCTTGGTTGAGACCGTCCTAGTCGACCCACGTTTACTCCGTACCTAGGAGATCAGCGCCCTAGGAACGGACGATGCTCGGGTCCACTCGGCGTTAACCAAGCGTATCTATACTACAGCGAGCGAGCAAACGCCCTCGACTGACCTACCTCCGCAATTGCATCTAAAAGCTTTCGCATGTGGGTCAGTAGCTCGGTAGGGATACGCCCCTAAGGGTGGTAACACCCCTTAGGGGAGGAAATCTTATGCCCCTCGGGAACTTATCCTGTCGTAGGGGACCGCGGGATGTACAGCTGGCGCACCCGGCTAGAGCGGCGAAGGGGCGATGCGACCGCGGTCGTCTCTGCGGCTCGTGGGATTAGTTGAGCGTCGTTCGCGAGTTGTCTCTGTTTTTGTTTGGTTTAACTTCTGTCGGACATGGCCGGGAGGGCTCTCGCCTTTGTGAAAAAGGCGGGAGCCGATGCACTCGACAACGGTTCACGTACGGGTCCGAGCTAGGCGTGGACCGTGCGTACCCCATATGCTACAACATACGAGAAACGCCCTCGGCTGAGCCACCTCCGCGATTGCAAGTAAAAGCTTTCGCGTGTGGTTCATACGCCCACCCAAGGGATGGTGACAGCTCCCGCGGGTGGAGGTAAGATGTACCTCGCGAGACCCTAGCTCCGTCGCTTCCCTTCTCGTGAAGCGACTTGCGAATTCTGCCAATCCTGTGTGAGGCGGTCGGGAAGGTTCCCCCAGCGGGGACCGTGCGCACGACAACGAGCATATGAATGAACCAAAGAATGAGTGTATGAACAAACGAAAGAATGAGAGTATCAACGAACGAACGAACAAACGAACGAACGAGCGAGCGAACTAACCACCCAACCAACCAACCAACGAATGAACGAACGAACGAATGAACGAACGAACGAATGAACGAACGAACGAATGAACGAACGAACGAATGAATGAACGAACGAACGAACGAATGAACGAACGAACGAATGAACGAACGAACGAATGAACGAACAAACGAATGAACGAACGAACAAGCGAACAAACGAATGAACAAATGAAGGAATGAATGAATGAATGTAACGAACGAACGAACGTGACGAACGAACGAATGAACGAATGAGCGAGCAAGTGAGCAACCGAGCAAACCAGCCAGCCAGCCAGCGAATGAACGAACGAGCGAGCGAACGAACGAGCAAGCGAATGAACGAACGAACGAACGAACGAAAGAAAGAGAGCACGAAAGCACGAAAGAAAGAAGAAAGCATGAACGAAAGCATGAAGGAACGAAAGAACGAAGGAACGAAGGAACGAAGGAACGGAGGAACAAAATAACGAACGAAAGAACGAAAGAACGAAAGAACGAAAGAACGAAAGAACGAAAAAACGAAAAAACGAAAGAACGAAAGAACGAACGAAGGAAGGCAGGAAGGAACAAAGAAACGAAAGAACGAACGACCGAAAGAACGAAAGTTCGGAGAAAGAAAGAGCGAAGGAAAAAAAGTACAAAAAAAAGACCGAAAGAAAGAACGAAAGAAAGAATGAAAGAAAAAATGAATGAACGAATGAACGAATGCACGAATGAACGAATGCACGAATGAACAAATGCACGAATGAACGAATGAAGAAACGAAAGAACAAAAGAATAAAGGAACGAAAGAACGAAAAAACGAAGGAACGAAAGAACGAAGGCACGAAAGAATGAAGGAACGAAAGAACGAAGGAACAAAAGAACGAAGGAACGAAAGAACGAAGGAATGAAGGAACGAAAGAACGAGGGAAAGAAAGAACGAAAAAACGAAAGAACGAAAAAACGAAAGAATGAAAGAATGAAAGACGAAAGAATGAAAGAATGAAAGAATGAAAGAATGAAAGAACGAAGGAACGAAGGACAAATGAAAGAACAAAAAAACGAAGGAAAGGAAGAACGAAAGAAAGAAAGAACAACAACAACAACAACAACAACAACAACAACAA